ATGGCCTACTTACTAAAAGAAAGAAAAACAGATCAGCATGAAGTTGGATACATTTCAAATCAGGCATAGTTTAATGAATTTAGTACAAAAGACACCAATTCTCTGGTTACAGCGTCTGATAAGAATCTTTACTACCTCTCACTACCCACCCGCAAATATTTTAACATCTCACAGGTTTGTCTCTCATTCTGAGGAAGTTTATTCTAAAGAGTGAAATGTGTCACTGATTATTTTTCCACTCTGATTATTGTCTCAAACCCTTTCAGCTACTACTTTAGTCATCTTCAAGGAGTTGGTTGTTAGTATATTTTAGTGCTTTCATTCTACATTGTCTACTACTCTTATGCAAAACAGCATAGAATACAGAATAAAAATGAACCCCTTGAAAATGAAGGCTGACAGCTATATCATGTTGAAACATTGCTTCATGTATGATCACTGAAGTGAAGCAACAGTGAGCCTGGTTAGTACCCAGATGGGTGATTACTTAGGAATACCATGTGTGGCAAGCTCGGATGTGTAGGATCTAACAGATAATGCTTAGAATTGTTAATTGTCAATCCGAGTTCCAATTTCTGTTGGGTTTGTTATATTCACTTCTGTGCAAATACCCTTGTGAAAAGTATGAATCCACCTCTTTCTCCCAGCTATGGGTTAATTAGTAAGACTTGCATCACTAAATCATTATCTCAAAAAAAATTTATTTTACTATGTAAAAATATTTTCCCTGCTTGAAGCAACCTGCAAAAGGTTGAAGCCATAGAAAACAAAATCACTCACTCAAATATTGATTAACTACACAGGCATGTCTTTTAGATTTATTTATATTCTCTGGAATATAAATGTATAAAAACTACCATGGCCTCAGTGTGAGGGATCAGTTTATATATTGACTGTAATATGGAATTGATCCACCACTTTATATACACATAATTTCTTGTTTGCTTATCAATTTATGATTAAGTGTCAATCCATCTTTTCTTCCCACCAGCAATAGTCTAATTCATAAAATTTGTATCACTAAATTATTATGTCAAAAAAAAATTTTTACAATCTAAAAATATTTTCTGGCTTTAAGTAACTTTCAAAGTGTTGATAAGCCATAGAAAATGAATTAATCAATCAATCAAACCTTGAAAATGGCTAAAGCATTGTCTGAAAGCTCTCGGGATAACAATCACTATGAACAGTTTCTACACACTCTTTGCCCTCGAGAAAAAAGAATTGTAAGGACACTACCAAATTAATAAACCAATGGTTTAATCCACAGAGGACAATAGCAGTGTGGATTTGGTGACATAGTAATTGTGAATTCAATACCTGGGCTGGACAGTGTGTACTTGGACTAAGCCGAAACAGGGAAAGCAATAACTGAGCAAGACTAAGTAAGAACTAGGTGGGATATCTCTAGACATGGGCAGTGGAATGAGAACAATCTATCCCCATTGATTAAATAAAGTGTTCAATTTTTAATTTCCTGTAGCTTACCCAGATTGTCACACACATAATGAAAGCTGGAGTTCACAGTAGCCAAAACATTTTGATAAACAAAGATGGAACAGTTGTCTGCATCTAAATAACCTCCAATCAATAAGATCTGAAGCCATGAGAGTGATCAGGGAATTTATTAATATTATTATTTTCAGATCAGTTACTTTCTCTATCTGTCTATATTTCTGAGATGAGGTATTATGTACATTATTTACATTATTTGGACTATTGTCCTCATCTTTGTCACCATATTTCTAACAACTCCTCAATTTTTAGTGCTGAAATTACAGCCATTGATTTAGTTCTAGACACCATCACTAAACTTAACTCAAATAAATTCATTATTTTTGCAGACTCATTATCAGTACTCGAATCATTAAAAAACCAAAAATTAAAAAATCCTTTACTCATCAAACTCCTACATAGAATACATGCGATCCCACAAAATAAAACTATCATTTTCTGTTGGATTCCCAGCCACTCTGGTTTTCATGGAAATGAAAAAGCTGATGTGGCTGCAAAAAACTCTGAAATGTAACACAAGTAACATAAAGGTTCCATACACTGGCTATAAACCCCTAATAAATGACTTTATTTTGAAGAAATGGCAAGAAGCTTGGAATAGCTGTCAAAACAACAAATTATTTAAAATCAAACCCTCTCTAAAGAAACAACTAACTGAACACAGAAAATCACGCAAAGAAGTGGTTTTATCCCGTATTCGCATAGGACACACACACATAACTCACACCTTCCTCCTAAAAGACGAAGATCCTCCTGAATGCATAGCATACCAGGAGGCTTATAATGTGAAGCACTTCCGGCTTGATTGCGGTGACATGGCACATATTGGAGAATTATTTTACAACATGAACAACTTGAAGAACTTTTTGAAAAATCAAACCTCAATTTGATCCTGACCTTTCTTAGGAAAGTTGGACTATATAATAAAATATAATTCCAATTTGGTGTCTGATGATGAAAAGGGGAACTTTGATACTTGCCAGGTGAGAAATTTTCAAAGAACAATGCACCTCTGAAAACAGTGAATTTTTTAAAAAAAAAAGAAGCAAGACAACATCAAAAAAAAAGGAAAGGGAAAGTCTTCTTGAAAGCATTTCAAACTTATTTAAAGAAAAAGAAAAAAATGATCTCTTGCTGATCAGTGGGTCGTTAAGTTTTAAACAAACAAACAAACAAACATTATTACGTTTCGGCCATTGTACATTCAGGTTTTCTTCAGGTGGTTAACAGGAGATAACTGATATCCATTAAAGATGGCATGTGGAACTAGAACAGTCTACCCCAGTGAGTGAAATAAATGGTTCAGTTCGACATTACAACCACCTGAAGAAGGCCGGAGCGTACAACAGCCAAAATGTAATAAATATGGCAACAAAGATGAGGACAATAGTCTGAATAATGTAAATAATGCAGTTACTTTCTCATTCATGATTTCATTCCCATTTTTCTTGACTTCATTTCTGAGGAGATTTCTTTAATACAGATACACTGCCCATTTTCTTGTAACTGAAGGCCCAGCACATCCTTTATTCTTGACAATGTTACAAACAGCCATTAGAATTTCATGCTATTGCCAAACTAATTCACTGGGCAGCCACAGGTGGTGGAGTTTGTGGTGCGTGATAACTTAATTGTTTACACTGGTGTGGTTGGATCAGCTCCATCAATTCTGTGTAAAGTCCAGCCAATTTTGTTACTATTTAACTTTAGTAATGGCGTCCAAGAAAAGTGCATGTGTCTTTGGTTTTATCAGACGTAAACACCGCTTGATACAAAAAAAAAAAGAAAAAAAGATGGATGCGTTAATAACAGTTGAAGATAAGTTACTAACATTTGATGATACCGTAGAGATACAAATCACAAGACTCATAAACCTTTAGGGTCATAAAAACACCACATATATGTGGTATCATTGGTGCTTCCTGGGCAACATAGCCTGAGAGAGCCAACCTTCTCCAGGTAGGTTTTGAATTCAGTTTTTCCTTCTCTTGGGCCAGTTGCTACCTAAGGTCTGTTCTGTTACTTACCAATAGCTGGGTGCCCCATACTTTCGGCTTTGTGCCACATCTGAGCTACACTTGGGGGGAGGAGAGATGGATTCATACCTTTTCCTTGGGTATTAGTATGTAAGTAAATGTAATGGACATGACTGGAATTTTAACTTGTCCCTCCAATTCCTCAATCGGAGCTGATATTCATTACTCCTGTAGAGATACAAGAAATACATAGTGACCGTGTCAGAGATATATACAGTAGATTATACTTTAGTACAACAATATCACTTTAGTAATTAGTAATATTAGTACAACAATAGTATTATACTAGCAGTTTAGTACAACAATATCACATTAGTAATTAGTATATTAGTACAACAATAATATTATATTAGCAGTTTAGTACAACAATATTACATTAGTAATTAGTATGTCAATAATATTACATACGTTATGTAGATTAGTACGACAATAATATCCACATTAGTAGATTAGTACGACAATAATGTCCACATTAATAGATTAGATACACGATACTGTCCACATTAGTAGATTCGTTATAACCGATACTGTCCACATTAGTAGATTAGGTACCGATACTGTCCACATTAGTAGATTAGGTAATCGATACTGTCCACATTAGTAGATTAGTACCCGATACTGTCCACATTAGTAGATTCGTACACCGATACTGTCCACATTAGTAGATTCGTACACCGATACTGTCCACATTAGTAGATTCGTACACCGATACTGTCCACATTAGTAGATTCGTACACCGATAATGTCCACATTAGTAGATTCGTACACCGATAATGTCCACATTAGTAGATTCGTACACCAATAATGTACACATTAATAGATTCGTACACCAATAATGTACACATTATTAAATTAGTATGCCAATAATGTCCACCTCAGTAGCAGTTGGCATAGAACTTATGGTTACATCTCACAATTTCAATGGTAAAATGATGAAACCTTGCCGTCAGTATAGTTGTACACTTAAATTCATAAATCTAAGTACCAAAGTGGAAAGAAATATTTGTTTTGAAAATACAAAAATGTGGCACAAGGCCAAAACGGCAGTTAGAGGAAAGTTGATCTTAAGTCTGTCTTAGCTAACCACAATCACTGACCCAAAGAGGAAAGCTTAGCACAATTACTATGAAAGTATTTATAGAAAAGGTACAGGGAAGCAACATTACAGCAGTGAGAAAGTAACCAAAGCTGAAATGCCAGGTCAGGACCAATAACATTGCACTTTGTATATTATCAAGAACATCTAAATATATAGTAGTTGGTAAAGTGTCAGATATTTAACTTTACTCTGTCTTTTGGAAATTTCAGGAATTTACTATCTTTTTGGATAGGCGACTAAACAGATATACAGCAGATTAGATCCTATCAGCTACCAAAGAGTCTACTGGAAAGTAAAAGTTGATACACTAGTCTTGAAAGCCATTGCTAGTAATTAGGCATTCTGCTGTTATGACCCTGTGCCATACGAGGTTAAGCCAAAACGCCTCCTCCATTGTGAGAAAGCTGGGAGTTCTTAAGTGAAAAGCTAAGCTTGGGTATGTAATCCCATCACTGTCTCTGCTTATGAAATAAAATATCTTTTTGGCTTTCTGTCTCCACATCTCATGTTGACTTAAATTTTATTTTTTTTTGTCTTGAAGCTGTTCTTGCTTTGAGTTGTGCTATTTCAAAAATTTCTTTTTCTTTTGACCTGGTATCAAGGATTAATACTTTTTTCTTTACGTCTTTGAGTCAGAGGTAAATAAACCTGTATTTTAATGAAGAAAGACAGTCTGTTTGCCTTCATAGCAGCATCACTTCAAACACACATTTCTTTCAATACTACACCTTGTTCTCCAAGTTTTCTCTTAGATTTCTCTCTCATATGACTTTGCTTTCTGTCTCTTTTTAGCCACTCATCTCTCCCTTCTCTCATTTCTTTAAATCTCTCCTCTCATCTGTCTGTCTCTCTCTCTCTCACTACTTCCTTCCTTACTTCTTGTATCCCTTCTCTCTCTTGCCTCTCCAGTCTCTCCGCTCCTTGTCTCGCCTCTCCAGTCTCTCCGCTCCTTGTCTCGCCTCTCAGTCTCTCCGCTCCTTGTCTTGCCTCTCCAGTCTCTCCGCAGTCTCCTTGTCTCGCCTCTCAGTCTCTCTCCGCCTCTCCTTCTCTCTTGCCTCTCCAGTCTCTCCGCTCCTTGTCTCGCCTCTCCAGTCTCTCCGCTCCTTGTCTCGCCTCTCCAGTCTCTCCGCTCCTTGTCTCGCCTCTCCAGTCTCTCCGCTCCTTGTCTCGCCTCTCCAGTCTCTCCGCTCCTTGTCTCGCCTCTCCAGTCTCTCCGCTCCTTGTCTCGCCTCTCCAGTCTCTCCGCTCCTTGTCTCGCCTCTCCAGTCTCTCAGCTCCTTGTCCGCCTCTGTCTCTCCCTCTCCAGTCTCTCTCCAGTCTCTCCGCTCCTTGTCTTGCCTCTCCAGTCTCTCCGCTCCCTCTCCAGTCTCTCCGCTCCTTGTCTCGCTCTCTCCAGTCTCTCCGCTCCTTGTCTCGCCTCTCCAGTCTCTCCTCCTCCTTGTCTCGCTGCACGCCTCTCCAGTCTCTCCGCTCCTTGTCTCGCCTCCTCTCCAGTCTCTCCGCTCCCTCTCCAGTCTCTCCGCTCCTTGTCTTGCCTCTCCAGTCTCTCCGCTCCTTGTCTTGCCTCTCCAGTCTCTCCGCTCCTTGTCTTCTCCAGTCTCTCTCCAGTCTCTCCGCTCCTTGTCTCGCCTCTCCAGTCTCTCCGCTCCCTCTCCAGTCTCTCCGCTCCTTGTCTCCGCCTCTCCAGTCTCTCCTCCTCTCGCCTCTCCAGTCTCTCCGCTCCTTGTCTTGCCTCTCCAGTCTCTCCGCTCCTCTCTTGCCTCTCCAGTCTCTCGCTCCCTCTCCAGTCTCTCCGCTCCTTGTCTCGCCTCTCCAGTCTCTCCGCTCCCTCTCCAGTCTCTCCGCTCCTTGTCTCGCCTCTCCAGTCTCTCCGCTCTCTCCGCTCCTTGTCTCGCCTCTCAGTTTCTCCCCTCCCTCTCCAGTCTCTCCGCTCCCTTGTCTCACCCGCCTCTCCAGTCTCTCCGCTCCCTCTCCAGTCTCTCCGCTCCTTGTCTTGCCTCTCCAGTCTCTCCGGGCTCCTTGTCTCGCCTTGTCTCTCCAGTCTCTCCGCTCCTTGTCTCGCCTCTCTCCAGTCTCTCCGCTCCCTCTCCAGTCTCTCCGCTCCCTCTCTTGCCTCTCCAGTCTCTCCGCTCCCTCTCTTGCCTCTCCAGTCTCTCCGCTCCCTCTCTTGCCTCTCCAGTCTCTCCGCTCCCTCTCTTGCCTCTCCAGTCTCTCCGCTCCCTCTCTTGCCTCTCCAGTCTCTCCCTCAAAAGCAGAGAAAGGCTCCAAAAAATGGCAGACGAAAACTGCAGCAGAGAGTCAATGTATGTCTCTTTCATTTATATTTCTTGTTCTCCTCCTCTTTTCTTTTCCCTCTCTCTATCTCTCATTCCCCCTCTTCTCATCATTCTTTCTCTTTTTAACTGTCTTTCCTCCCTCCCTCTCTCACTCTGCTATAACTTTTCCCTTCTCTGTCTTCACATTGTGGTAAATATATGCACTGTGTAAAAGCTAAAGACATATTGTCACATGACTCTTCTCTTATTTACTTAGAGAGTTCACTGGTGATCTCTGCTCAAATCAAAATATTAACCTTTTGAGCTTTGACAGACAGCCCATCAAAAACATTAACTCAAAGTAGAGACAGGGTGCATCTTGGATAAGAAACAAAAACTTGTCTGCTGATGCAAGTTCTTGATGTTATTTTTTTTTTTCTTTCATCTTTTTATTGTTTGCTGTCTGACAATCAAAAGCACTGATGAGGCAGTTCTCTTGAGGATAAACTTTCAAATATGTCCATTGAGGTTCTATTCTACATGTGGTAATGTTAGGATACATCCCAAATCCAATATTTGAGTAATGATAGTGTGA